GTGCCAACTTGGGCCAGTGAAGCAATGTCCTCCACAACTAGACTGAAGAACAAAATGACAGCAACTTGTCTGTTCCCCTTCCCCTAATTCCCCAGCACTGTTCCCATCCCTCCAATTCCCTAATGAAAATCTTTAAAAAAAAAAAAAAGAAATTTAACCAGGAGATCCAAGGAATGAGACAGCCAGTCATAGCAGGTCTTGATAAGATCCTACATGTCACTAGTGGACTGGAAAGCTGCTCAGGAGAGACCAGAAAGGGTCCTAGTTAATTCCTTAACTGGCTGATTGTCCCAACTTGAGTCCAGTGTTAACTCTTAGCTAGGGTCTAAGTCAATGAACATAGTTTGGAGGGTATGAAAATACGAATCTTTGTGAGAAGGGATGGTGATTGGAAGAGAGCACAGTGAGTATTTCTGGAATACTACTAATGTGCTGTTCCTTGCTCTGGGTGCTGGTTTCACACGTGTGTCTACTTTGTGATAATTCACTGAGCTGTATATACACTTAAAATATGTTCCTTTTTCTGTATATATGTTTTATCAATGTCTTTTGACACAATAATGTTGTATAACAACCATAATGGACAGTGAATGTTTATTTTTGCTCATGAGTCTGTTGGTCAGTTGAACAGATGTGCTGATCTATGCATTAATTTGTGGGCCAAAATAGCTGATCTTAGTGGGGCTTGTTCCTGCCCCTGCAGTTAGCTGACATGAACGCTGAGGGCTGGCTGGTTGAGGATGGCCCAGCTAGCATAACTCTTCACTGTTTATGTGGTCTCTCATCCTCCAGCAGGATTCCAAAAGACTGTGTGAAGGTACATAAGGCTTCTTGAGGCCTAGGCTTGAAACTGTCACACCATCACTTCCATCTCCTTCTCTTGGCCAAAGGCATTCCAGATTCAGCAAAAGGGAAAATAGGTTCTACTACTTGACGGGAAAAGTGAGAGTCACATTGTAAGAGAATCGATTAGGTATAGGGAGGAGGATAACCGGATTCAATTTTGCAATGAATCTGCCACACGTTGTATTTCAATTTAGTAATATATTTCGAGTTGTCGGAAAAGTCATGACACGATTTTGCAACAAAAAACGTAGAAAAAATACATCATGACACTTCGGTCAACCCAATAGATAAAACAAACCTAACACAATATTGACAGTTCTTAGATCTAGATGGCTGTTTATAGATATTCATAAGCTGCTTTTCTGTACTTTTTTAGACTTTTTTAAATGTTTGTTTTGATTTATTTATTTTTTTTTGAGTACGGGTTATTTTTGTAATTTTTTTTTAAATATAGATCTTGGGGCTCTACTCCAGACCTGAATTCGAATGATAACACCTAGAAATCTACATTTTTAAAATATACTTTACAAGTGATGCTAAATTTTGAGAATCACTACTTTGGTTTTCTGACTTTTATTGGAACCCCTGGCTTAACTAAGCATATTTCCAATTTCCATTATCTATAGAGAAAAAGCAGCTCAATGCTACTAGCATCCCAGCTACAAGTAATATGAGCTAGTAATACCAACCATTGACAAGGTTGTCTAACTCCTTTGTTCAAGCCACGAAAACTATATACAGACTTTTAAGGTTCCTTGAAAACAGTGGTTGGGGGAAGAATGAAGTATATTAAGTACCTACTGCATGCCGTAGTCATGACACCAGGTACTTTACATATATTATTTATCTTTACAAAAATCTTGGGGGATGGGAATTATTATTCTCATTTTATAAATGAGGTCACTGAAGCTCAGAGAATTAACTAACTTGTCCAGTGTTTAATAGCTACTGAAACAGACGACCAGAGATTTGAATTTAGCTTTTGGACTATAAGTTAAACAGTTTTGAAGAAAGCAGTGTTTTTGGAACCAGGTAATTTATTATATGGCAAACCCAGTGTTTGTGAGAATTATGAAAATATATATGTACAGCACATAACCCAGTGCTTTAGCTGTCATTAGTACTAATCACTCACTTTCTAATCAAAGTGCAACCATTTATTTGTTCAAATAGCAGCAGACTTAAGTCTGAAGTTGTATGTAGAGTTAAATTGTGTTTATATTTTTCAGATGTTTTAGGTGATTTATGTTAAATGCAAATGTTGACATTTTAAAAAATGAATGTTTGTGTTCAAACAGTTGCTAAGCCAACTTAAAGGAAATTTAGAAGAAGAAAATCGACATCTACTAGATCAAATTCAGACATTAATGCTGCAGAACAGAACACTGTTGGAACAGAATATGGAAAGCAAGGATCTTTTTCATGTTGAACAAAGACAGTACATGTAGGTATCAAATAATTTTGCATTCCAAAATATTACTCATCATTTTATCATTGCTATACCTGATGGCAAAGAAAACTCAATGCTAATATTTTTTTTATTTTCAACATTATTATTTCAACATATATGTTTGAATGCTTACGTTCCAGGCTCTGTGCTAATAACCAGAAATACTCACATGAAAACATGGGCCCTGCTCTTAAGGAACTAGTAATATAATAAAGCAAGGAATACAGATAGTTGCCTTAATGGAGGTTATGTGTAGGAGGCTATAGAAATATAGCAGCCTTAGTCTGGGAAAGCCAAGGTGGACTTTCCAAAGATAATTGCTTGAGCTACAACTTAAACGTTCAATAGAAGTTCACCTGAGGAGGCATAACCGGCCAAGGCAGCAGCAAATGAAAAAACATGGTGGTGTGATGAAAGTGTATTACGATATGGCACAGGGTCTAAACATTAATTGTTCTTGCTGGAGCAACATTTAGGAAAGAGGAGCAGCAGCGCTGTGGAGAAACACTCAGGAGCCACTTCTCAGAGGCTTTTCTATGTCATACAAAGGAGGCGCTGAAAATTTTGAGCAAGGGAGTAATACGATCGGATTTGCGTTTTTTAAAAAAAAGCGTTGATGACATTTTAGAGTATGGATTGGAGGTTCTGAGAATAGACAAGAAGTAAGTTTTAAGAAGGCTGTTGCAATAATGTAGTGAAAAATATTTCACAAGCAGTAGTATTTGAGATCAAATACAAAAGAGAGAGAATTGACTGGGTTTATTTGTTGGTAAATTGTGTGGCGAGTGGAGGAGTCTTCTAAAATCAGGGATTTGGGCCTGGGCAGCTCAGTGGGTAGTCTTTGTATTACACCATGATGTCCCTTTACCAAAGTCTTCTCTTCCCCTTTTCCCTAAATGAGAAGCACCATAGTATAATGGAAAGCCCAGATGTAAAAATCAAACCGCTAAAATTCAAACCCAATTCTTCCAATCACAAGCTATGTGATTATACACTAGTTACTTGATTTCTTTGACCATTGGTTTCTTTTTCTGCAAAATAGAGCTATAACATCTACTTCCAGAATTATCCTCAGGAGTAAATGAAATAATATACCTGTGCCTTTCAGACATGATGTACACGATGGTGAGCCAGGGCACATAGGAAACCAGGATACATTATGCATTTCTTGAAGCATCAATTTTATTATAAAATGTGGGGTAGGGGACGTTATTTTTATATTAATACACAGATATATCATGGAGCAAAAGCTAGAGTTTTGCATGAACTCTTAAGATAAATGCCAAACTTCAAAGAAATTTCACATTTTTAGCTGCCCACTGTGGACTACACCTTCAATCCTTTCAGGGGTATGTAATGCCTTTACTCTCGGCCTTATATAAAGAGGTATTCTAGCTTAAGAAGCAGTGAGTATATTTAAGTTTCCTGTCCCTTAAGCAGAGGCATTATCCACAGCTTTATCTTCTTAGTGTTCTTACCCTTGGTGACTAATCATTTCCAAGGTTTCAGTGATTGTATCTATATATTGACTTATAAATATTAGTATCTATTGTGATTTTTTTAATTTAAATTAAAGGCGTCCACCTTACATTTACATGTCAGACAATCTGTGTGAATGGCTCTGTCACATGGTCCTAGCAGGAGTGACAGTGAACAGGTAGTACTGAAAATTTGGAGATTCCTGATAAATTTCAATAGGAAAAAGGAGAAAAGAATTGGGAGGTTTAGACTATCTGCTCTTTGCACTGTGGTATAACTGTTGGCAACTTCTGTTCACAAAGCGTCTTCTTCCTTAGAATCTCTCAAATTAATTCCTTCTAGTCCGCACTACCCTGATGCAACCTTACCTCTCAACTGGACTATCCCAATTAGCTTCCTAGATGCTTCCTTTAACTCCATCCTTTCTGATATATCCATTCTATTGTTGAGTTTGAGATACCTAAAGCAAAGATTTCATAATGTCACTTTGTAATGAAACTTTCCATATTTCTGACTTTCTGTTGAGCAAAATCTTAACCCGAAACTCGCACCACTTCTCAAGAATGATTCATTTAGCATCCTTACCTTTCCTTTTCAGTCTGTCTAATATGGCCTTTTTCTTTGGTCATCCAGGATAGAAATATTCTCCTTTTTATAAGTTCCTGTTGTACCTCCACAGTACTTTTATTTTGGCACTACTGCTGCCCTGGCTTATAATAGTCATTTATGTATGTACCCTCTGTCTCCTATATTATAATCAGAACTGGGCTACTTATTATTCATCTTTATATACACCTCAGCCTTCCTCATTGTAAATGATCACTAAATGTTGAGTAAATAGTATTCTTTGGCATCACTTTTTTTTTAAAGAGTTCATTTGACTTTGGATTGTGATCTTTGATTTTTTTCTCTGTATAATATATCCAATAAGAACATAAAAATGAAACTGAGGGGTGGTGAAAGTGTAGTATATTCATGCTTGCTGAAGGCAGGAAATAATTCCCTACAAGTATATTAGCCTAAATAATTCTGCTATAAAGGGAAAAAAATCTGTTTGCATAGAGATGCAGTTGCAAGATTATTTATTCTATTTGTAATTATAAGCAAACTATCCATCTTAATTTTTTGCCCATGTGAATTATAATAAATCACCCTTCATTCCAATAGTGATCTGAGATACTAAAGATCCAAGAACAGGGGGAAAAGTCAGTGTTGACATAATGTTGTTTAATAGCTGTAAAAAAGATGTTAAAAGAATTTTTTTGTCATGATGAGATTGTAATATGGAACATTATCTTAAAACAAATCCTATTGAAGAATTGAAACTTTAAATCCCATATACTTTTATTTAAGTAAGGTGTAAATTTAAAGAAAAGGAGAAACTTGAAAAAAATCCCATTGTTACCACCTAATAAATTCTTAGTTGTCAACTATGGTATCTGTATTTATGTTTTGAGAAGTTAGATCATGTCACAGAATAACTTAATATCATTCATAACTGTACAAAATATGCATGTCCTAAAATGTAATTTTTATTTTTATAGTGATAAGCTAAATGAATTAAGACGACAAAAGGAGAAATTAGAAGAGAAAATTATGGATCAATACAAATTTTATGAGCCATCTCCTCCTAGAAGGTACTATTAGCCTAATTTTATTCATTTTTATCCTGAAAAGAAAATTATATTTCAAACATTTTAATTTTGTGAAGGACTTGTGTGTTGATTTTTAGACTGATAAGAATTTTTTAATCTATCAGGAGAGGCAACTGGATTACTTTAAAAATGAGGAAGTTGATAAAGTCTAAGAAAGATATTAATCGGGAACGTCAGAAATCTCTAACCTTAACACCTACCCGCTCAGACTCCAGTGAAGGATTTCTTCAACTCCCCCATCAAGATAGTCAAGATAGTTCTTCAGTAGGTTCAAACTCTTTAGAAGATGGCCAAACTTTGGGAACCAAGAAAAGCAGCAGTGAGTGCTTAAACTCTTTAAATATTTGTGATCTCTAATATTGATTTAGAATCCTTTCTAAATATTTCTTTTAAATAATCTCAACAGCCCTTTGGGTAGTATAATGAATTCATTTCTTTTTAACTCCATACAATTACAAAATGCATTGCATCCTGCAATAATGCATAACCACATGGTTTTCTTTATTGTGCATTTAGAGGTATCCCAAACACAGAGATACCATCATTTGGCTAGGGAGGTAAAATAGTGTACAAAGAATATTGAAATAAGAGCCAGAATACCTCTGCCACTTGGCTAATTCTAGTAATATAGGCAAGCATTTTTCCTTTGTGTCATACTTAACAGGATGATTATGAGGGGCTAGTGAGAAGTACTTGTAAGAGCTTATTTTCATAATTATTTATAACAAAATAGAATAATAAAGCATTTTATAATTAGTTCTTACTCATATACTTTGATAGTATTAAATTGAAGTAAAGTTACATTGGGGGGAAGCAAAAAAATAGGTATGAATTTGAAGAGGATGTTAGAAAGATTTAGAAATAATTGAAGGTTATGAACATTATTGAGAGATTGCTTGATAAAGGATTGGTTACAATAGATGGAGAGATGAAAATTTGTATATAAACTTGTGATTTAATTTTTTAAATTACCAGTATAGAAGTATCACATCATAATATGCCTTATACAGTTTATAATCTTTTTATTTCATTACTAGTATGCTTAGCTAAACAGCAAGGGCAAAGTAAAAGCCTAAAGAAATATATTTTAAGAGAAAGAGAAAAAAATGCAATGCTAGGCCTTTTGAAGATGTCAAAAAGTTGATGACTATCAATGTTCTTATAAAATATGTAAACAGGATACTTTGAATCCACTCACTCTTATCACTAGTCATCAATTTTAAAAAATGGATTACATATATAAATATCGCATATATATGAGTATTTATATCATTTATATGTTTATAGTATATGTATACATGTATATATATAAATTTCACTACTATTCTTTTAAAGTCAATAGCAGGCAAAAACAGCTACTACGTCCATTAGGACTAGACTATTCATTCGATGGGTAATTCTCAAAACACTCAAACAATAGACAGTGTTTTGGCCTTAGGGGAATTATCTCTGAAAAGGCAGCATTTTTAGGTGTAGGGTATTACATATTCACCGTAGAGTATATTTCAGAACACAACTTTAGCACCCTAACAACTAGAATCCATAACTAAGCAACAAAAAAATCATACACATACATATATGCACATATTCATATGTACATATACATATGTATATACACATACATACATATATAAATATTTTTATATGTATGTATGTATTAGGCTGAAGAAAGTTGTTTAATTGTATATTCCCACTTAATTTTGTTGTTACATGGAACTTTTGCTATCTAGTCTTGTCAGCCAAATCTACACGAAACCTCTGAGGATTATTGTAGAGAGAGATCGAGTTTTCCTTACAAGAGTGCCAGATAATTTAATTTTATTTACTACCTTTAGATTTAAAATACCTGACATTTTATTAAATCAGAAATAGTAATGGGTATACTTAATGTTTTTAATTAAAGGAAGATATTTCAATTCACAGAGCATACGCAAGAAAGGCATGGCAGTCTTTTTTGAGGTTATCTTGTTTGTTTTAAATATAAACCTGTCATTCCTTCATACTGTTTGTTGAAACATCCAGAATAAGAATCAAAAAGAAGTAATATTCTCCTTTTCTTCAACTGTTCAAATTTAGAATTCTTAAAATAAACACGAAACCCAACAATGCTAATGTTCCCTTAATTTCAGTATAGTCTGGGGAAAGAACATTGTCTGAAAACTGATTGCCATAAGAGGGATCACATTCCACCACTGGCAAATTTAAAACTCCTTTTGTCCTGTCCCTTTTGGAAGAGTATCTGTCTGTCAGTAAAGCAGTCTTTGGACAACAGTTGAAAACAGAAAGAGGAAGTATCTAAACAAGACATGTGCATGCTGCAACCACACAGCTTTGTTTTAGCTAAGTGTCCATTTTTACATTGCTTTCAGTTCATTTCTTTTTAATCATTGAAAATACCTGTGTTTGGGCTGGCTGAGTGGCCCAGTTGGTTAAGAGTCAGCTTAAGAGCACGAGCTCTGAACAACAGGGCCGCTGGTTCGATTCCCACATGGGCCAATGATGCTGCGCCCAAGCTGAGCTGCCGCTGAGCTGCCAACAGGTGGTAGGATGGTTCAGCTGTTAAAAAAAAAGAAAAAGAAAGAAAATACCTGTGTTTTACCTAGCTAGAAAATAAATAATAAGTCAAAAGCTTAAATGAATCATGATTATTTCCAACAGCAATCACATAAGTTACAAAGCTGTATGTCCACTGCATCTTCCTTGTTGAATGATACTTGTCAGTTTGTCAAAAGAGCTTTGATTATTTGCAAGATAAAGGCAAACCCTGAGAAAGAGCATAGTTGTTAAGGCTATGTCCAATACGTTTTTAAGTCATTATGCAAGTTGTTTCCTAACTCCTAAACGGTAGTTCCAAAAACGTGTAACAGTTTTTTGTATTCAAATCTTATAAAATGTAGCTTAAGAATGTTAATAACTCTAGTGAACATTTTTATTTTTGTGCTAATGACTCCTATTATAGTTATAAACCTAATTTTTTTGCAGTGCTATCTTTGACTTTTTAATAGCCTCACCTAAAAAGCCTTTCCAAATATCTAAAAATGTCATACATACATTTTTTGGGGGGTCTATTTTGCTTGCCTTAGGGTGCCTCCTTAACTTTTAGCCTTATCAGAACTTAGTGCTAGCACTTATTACTACCGTCAAAATACTCTTTTTTTTCTCTTTTCCCAACAACCTTTTGTAAAATGAAATTCATATAATGACTCATTTTATCTTTTGACTTTGTTTAAAAGAATATATATTTTCATGGTGCTATTAAATAATGCATGAGAATTCAGTTTAAACCAAGAAGTAATTCCCTATTTCTTTATTAAAGCTCAAGAAAATAATGAAAGTTTTAAAAGTTTCTGTTTATAAGTTTCTTATAAACATCCCCTGGCACCCTAGTTTTTGTTGATGTGTTTTACTAAAGTACTCTTACAGAATTAGCGTTTTCCTAAATGATTTTTTCCATATAGCCTTATAATTTAAAAAGTTAAGGAAAATAGAGGATTGAAAAGCCTTGTACATTTTCATCATGTATACTCTGGCCCACCCCACCAGTAGCCCTAATTTTAAACTTAACTAGGAAAATTGTTCCTTCCATAGTAATTCTAACCAGTTCCTGTATTTATCGGACTTGAGCCAATCCAAGCTTTCAAAGTATGTGTTCCTCATCATTGTCTTCAGTGCTTTTTCAAGTATTTTAAAGTATCAGAGTGCTTATTTCATATTTCATTATCACTCAGCAGCACGAAAATAATAGCCTTAATATAGCATACATAAGCTGAAACTCAGACATTCATTTCTGTCCTTAATTTCAACATTTAACTCCCATCTGTTCTTCTCCCTTTTTTCTTTCATTTTTCTGTTTCTGTTTTTCCTCATGCTCTGACATTAAAGTGGTTGCACTGAAAAGACTGCCCTTTTTGAGGAACAGACCGAAGGATAAAGACAAAATGAAGGCCTGCTACCGTCGTTCCATGTGTAAGACTTTATGACAGTTCAGCTTCTTTCAAATGACTACACTGGCTTCCATTACTAATTTTTCACTAACCTTTCTCTGGACTGTGCCAATTTCCTTATCTGGCAAAGTACAGTCTTCCTCTAATACAAGGAGCTGGAAGAATTTTTTTTTTCCAAAACTGGCACTGAAATTGCATTATATGTATGTTCACTGATACATATAGATGCAAAGATTTAGTCATACATGTAATAATATACTTGTAAATTTCCAGTGCTTTCTAAAATTGGCAGAAAAAAACCCTTTAATTTTATATGCCATAGAGATTTTTTTCCCAAAGAAATTTACTTAAAGAAAATATAGCGAAACCTTTAGCATTAGGAATTTATTTCCTTAATGAACTAGATTAAATAAATAAATAAAATGGCCTGTAACCCTTTAAAATGTTTGTCATTCTTTATATAATAATACTCTGGTTTTCCTTTTTTTAAGTGGAATGAGTAATTACATAATCGCATTAAATGTCTGTCACTTTGGCTATCATCTCTTTCAGGTTTTTGTTGAATGGTATACTTATTTGATTCATAAAATGAATATTTTCTTCAGTAACCTGCTCTGACCAAGGACTCTTTATCATTTTCAGTAATGATGCTGTATAAGAACTGCTCTACATCTTTATTCATTCCATTTTTATCACCACAAAACCACATTATGAAGGCTTCTAATTATTACGCATATCACTGCACAAAAGCATGGCAGTTGTACAGAGTAAAATTCCTTTTGGTATCTTTAAAGGGGGTGGATGTGGGATACAGATATTTACTGAAATCTATCAGCCTTTGGCCTACTCATTTCATTCAGCTGAATGCATGTCAGAATTCAAATGACCTGTGGTTATAGTTTTTGATTTCCACTTGCATTAATCCATAGACAAAAACCAGATCATGTATAATACAAAACAGAAATTAAGAGCACATACATTAACCATGCTGATTCATTTGCTTTCATTTGCATCCCAGCCATGAATGACCTGGTGCAGTCCATGGTCCTAGCAGGAGGACAGTGGACAGGTAGTACTGAGAATTTGGAGGTTCCTGATGATATTTCAACGGGTAAAAGGAGAAAAGAATTGGGAGCTATGGCCTTCTCTACTACAGCCATCAACTTTTCAACTGTCAACTCTTCTACAGGCTTCAGATCCAAGCAGTTGGTTAATAATAAAGGTATAGGCTGTCTGCTATTTGCACTGTTGTGTAACTGTTGGCAACAGGAATTTTAATGTGACTTTTCCATGTGTACTTTTTTGACAGCAACAACCTGAAATAATTATCAAAACAATCTGGCTTTGATTTGAGGAAATTTTCAAATCATTTCAAAAATTTAAAACATACAAATAAGTAAAATCTTTCCTAGGCCTTTCACAATAAACAGCTAATGAACTAACAAGAAAAGGAAAAGTAAACCAAGTAAAGTATGAGGAAGAGAGAGTGATAGCTTTTTTTAAAAACCTAAAAACACTACGACTTCAAACAGAGAAAACCATGTAGAGCAACCCAGGGTCTTGCTTTGTTTTGCAGGGTCACAGGGGAGATTGTTTCATTGCTACTGGTGTTTTCCTTAAGCGAGTCAACTCTCATCAGAGCTATTCTGTTTTTTACTCCTAGCTTCAGTTTCTGATTGAGTCTATGAAATATGTTAAATTAAGATGTATTATACATGATTGAAAAAGAATTTCCATATTCTGCGTAAATAAAATGTTACAATGGGGTTTTTTGTTAAACATTTCTATATCCATTTTGCTATTTTATGTAGATACTACATCTTTTGAAGACATAAGTCCACAAGGTATTAGTGATGATTCTAGTACGGGATCAAGAGTTCATGGTAAGATATGAACTTTATTTAGAGAGTCATATTACATACAGAATGGGAATGCTAAGACTCTTGCATTGAATCCATGAATGTGCATTGCCAGCAAGCATGTTTTATCTAACCTGCATCTCATAGCTACCTCTGCCATTTCTTCAGGTCTAATACGCCCTTGTGCCCACTTTAAGGTTACTGCTTCATCTAAATAGTCTCTGTTTTAGTCAAGGTCATTTCTGAAGTATGTCTTCACAGTGCTTAAAGCTAATTTTGTTGCCATTTTGGTATAAGTTTAAAGTTATAAGAGTTACTTTTTATCATTGGTTTAAAAAATATTTACTTTGGTAAAGGATGAACCTCTAAGAAACCACATTTTCAGCAATGTTGAGCATTTCAGATTTTTACATTTCTACCTGGATAATCGTATCTTACCAAACTAAATTATTAACAATAAATGGATAAATGTTAAAGGAATTTCATATATAAGCAGGATTTTAAGAAATAGGATAGGTTTGTGTTCACTGTGCAGTTGTTTTCCCTTGTATGAATAGTAATACAAGATATCAACTGTGCAGATGCTCATATACCTCCTGTTCGTGGCCTCCCTACAATGTGCAGAGTTCCTTGTCTGATCTGTTGTAAGTGACCTAATCACTAGAACTTTTTTTTTTTTTGGGAATTTCACTCTGTTCAACTAACACACTCCTGGTATCCATCTACAAATCATATTCAAATCTAACTGTGCACTTTGTCTTCTTATCTTTGTATCTCAACTATTGTTTCGGAAGTGTCCTGTTCTCAAGAGCATTACTGAGCTATGTGGAAACGCCTTTGCTCTCTAATCTGTAAAATTCAGCTGTCTGTGGGCATGCTCAGCCTGTGAAAGTGTGCATGATTGCTTCCTCAAAGCATTCTGTGATCAGAATGTAAAGTGCAGTGTCACCAGCCGGAAGTTTTATCACACTGTCTCCTGATTTTTTCATTTAGCTTCAAGACCAGCAAGCCTTGATAGTGGCAGAACATCCACTAGCAATAGCAATAACAATGCTTCACTCCATGAAGTCAAAGGTACGCTGTAGGTAAATTTGTTAATGTGTTCCCATCCATTTCCAGATATAAAAGGGAGACTGGTGAAGTTTCTGGAGTAAAGTATGAAATTCAAATCATCTATGTTTGGAACATAGTTCCTTTGAACATTTTATACTTTCCACATTGGAATACAAACGTATTTCAATGTACACAAATGTAAAAACAGGAGCAGTTATTCTTATTTCAAGTTTTGATCTTCACAGGTAAAATACTTCATTGTAATCTTAATACTTCAAAAATATCTGTAGGTTTTTATTTTAGTTATGTTTTGCCTTTGTCTTTAAAATGGTCCTTAATTTTCTCATGATGCATGTACATTGAATTCCCATTACAGAAAGTGTTTTGGAAGTACTTAATTTATCCACGAAATAAGGGGAAATATATTTTTTTTAATTTGAGAAGGCAATTGTGTGTGTGTGTATGTGTGTAACAAGAGCCAAGTGGATGCATGTAACTCATATAAAGAATTATTTCAAGATTTTTTTCCTTAATTTTTTAATATACATTCCAAGGTGAGGTTTTTATGTAATGTCTGGAAGCCTTGACTAAAAGATACTTGTATACTGCCTATTCAGATTTGGAATTGTTTAATAGATTGTAACAGGTGGTGAACCAGTTATTCTCTACAGTCCAGAATTCTCAAATTCTAATGAATGCAATTGTTTTATTGCTTTTTGTAATATAAAATCCTTTTGTCTCAGTTTTAGTTTTATTTTATCATTAATGCTATGAATTTATTGCTGTGATCTCAAAAATCTGATTTCAAGGAGGGATTATATTTTCATTTTTGTAATCATGTTTGTATATTAGTAGAAAAATGTAATCAGAAAATGTGATGTTTCTTTTCCGATTTGAAAATTTTAAGAAAATCTTATTTCTATAAAATTATTACATAACTTGAGCCAAATTCATTCATGGCCTACTCTGTGATTGGTAAACAAAGGAAAGTTGCATTTTCTATCGCAATACTATATCTATCTATATAGTTTCCTATTGATGAAAATGAATCAGCACTCTTAAGAAATAGCATAAACTTTAGGAAGCTTTTTTCCAGAACTAGTCATTTACATTCTATACAGTTGCTCAACCTCAACTGCATCTTAAGGCTCTACAGCCACCATACCAACATCGGAAAGAAGGAACAATCAGATGATTCAAACATTAAATAAAGAATAAAATACTACCTTTTTTATTTTATATTTTTACTGGAATTTTCTAAATAATTATATCACCTCTTCACTTTCTTTATATGCCTGCTAGTTAAAAATTTTTTCTTTAAGGTTATTCATTAAGGGTAAACAGCGAAGCCTTCAAGTAAGGAGTAAAGACTTCATTAGAAAGGCAAAGAATTTGAATTTTTAGCATTTGGAACACTTTTTGGTTTTAATATTCTGCAATAATTTACAGTTCATATAATCATGTTTTGTTTTAAATTGTGAGGTGTTTTTCAGTTACAGCTGACTCTTGAACATATGTAGAAGCGTTGAGAGGTCAGCACCCCTAACCCTCGTGTTGTTCAAGGGTCAACTTGTATTTGAACCTGAATCTTTAAAAATGTATTATTCGCTTATTTATTCATTCATTTACTCGTCAAATGTAGTAAGTGCTTGCTTTGTATGTTTAGGCTCTGGGTGTGGTATGGAGGTGAAAGCAAGTCTTCGCCCTTGTGGAGCTTATACAATTTGTCTGATTGACTAAGTAAGGAAACAGGCCTTGGTAGACTGATAAGGAAGTCCATGGCAGACAAAATAAGCAGGCAATTGTTAGACCGATGAAAGTTTAGCACAGTTTACTGAGCATTTCTAAATAAAGCTTGAAAGTCAGTTTGACTCTTCATAAGAATCCAGTCAAAAAATGTTATTACTTACATAGTTCTAAGCTCATTTCTATTGAACTTTTAACACCACATTTACTCCGAAAGCAGGTGCAGTTAATATCCAAAGCAGGCCACAAAGCCATAGCAGTGGAGAGTTTAGCCTGCTTCATGATCATGAGGCTTGGTCCAGCAGTGGCAGCAGTCCAGTCCAGTACTTGAAAAGACAAACCAGATCAAGTCCAGTGCTGCAGCACAAAATGCCTGAAACAGTAGAGAGTCGAGCTCATCACAAGATCAAAACTGGTTCCCCTGGAAGTGAAGTTGTTACTCTACAGCAGTTTTTGGAAGAAAGCAACAAGCTTACCTCAATACAGGTTAGTTTTATAGGGGACCTTAATTTAGATAGACATTACAAGTTAAATTTCTATGATTGAACTTTAGAGCTTTTTTTTTTTAAGATTTTTTATTGGGGAATTGGGGGGATGGGAACAGTGCTGGGGAGTTGGGGGAAGGGGAACAGACAAGTCGCTGTCGTTTTGTTCTTCAATCTAGTTGTGGAGGATGTCGCTTCACTGGCCCAAGTTGGCACCATCATTGCGCTCTTCTCTGGCGAGGCAGATCAGTCGCCGGCTTCTGGACGGCCGCTCACTGCGGCTGCCGGCCGCTCACGCTGGCTGCTGGCTACACACGGTAGCCCATGGCAACCCACTGCCACAGGGACTGCAGCCCACGCCGTCACCGGCGACTCATGGCAGCCTAGCTCCAGGTTGAGCTGTTGTTCAGCATCTTAGCTGTGGAGGGCAGTGTCACTGGCCCTCATATGTGGGATCCGAACCGGGGCCCTCTGGCGTCCCAAGCGAGTTCTTAACCATCGCGCCACTCGGCCGGCCTAGAGCTTTTTTTTTTTTAAGTTAAGGAGTATTTAGAGATATTAGCAATTTTGTATCATACAGTCTAATATATCAAAGTAAAAGCATGGCTGCTACTTACTAACCTGCTTTGATTTTATTTTTTTTAACAGATAAAGTCCTCAAGTCAAGAGAATCTTTTAGATGAAGTAATGAAAAGTTTGTCTGTCTCTTCTGACTTTTTGGGAAAAAGTAAACCAATTAGTTGTGGTCTGGCCAGGTCAGTAAGTGGAAAAACCCCAGGAGACTTCTGTGACAGACGGACAACTAAGCCTGAACAATTTGTGAGACCTGGTCCTCGGAAGACTGAAGACACCCACTTCATTAGTTCTCCAGGAAAAACTATACCAGGCGCTCAAGGAAAGATAAAATTAGTAAAAGAAACTTCTTTGTCACGACAATCAAAAGATAGTAATCCTTATGCCACTTTACCTCGTGCAAGCAGTGTAATCTCTACTGCCGAAGGAACTACTCGAAGGACAAGCATCCATGATTTTTTGACCAAGGACAGTAGACTACCTATGTCAGTTGATCCATCACCAGCTACTGCTGATAGCGACATCACTGCAGCATCTAGTGAGTACTGTTTACACCAGTGGTCCTCTCATACGTTTCACAGCCCAGTACATGCTGTAGGTTCTCGTGCACAAAATGATTTAGCTACAGATACGCCTGAGTCTCTATATGCCCAGGCTAGAAACTCAACAGAAAGGTCACATTTTCTAAACCAGACTTTGGCCACTGTTAGTATGTCTAATGATGCATTTCTAGTATCAGCTAAAGATAGCATCGGGTCATTTACCGTGGCTCATCCATCTCAGCCATTTTTATCCCTGAATACAGAGTTAGTTAGTAACATCAGTGGGTTACCTCCCAGGCCAGTCAACAGAGTAACTGACCAGGCTTTTCCCACTTTGGACAAAGCTGCACAGAGAGATAATGAGCAGTTTTCTGATAATCAGAACCCTAGTAACAGTAACCCACAGTCTTCTGTAGATAGCAATAATCTGATCGCTCCTGCATGCCTCTATCTTGATGACACAGAAGCTGCATTGTTGGTTTCTGAGGATAATCAAACTGTTTGGTATGAATATGGTTGTGTATGATCAAAACTACGCAATATAATACTGATGTCATTTGATATGCCCTATGCTTCTCTAATCTGATTTGAAGAGCTGCTATTGAAAAGTATCATTTGTCTAGATTCATATTTTTATTTTTAAATTGTGGCATAGTGTTTGGCTGTACATGATGTCTTGTATATAAATGTGAATGTGTAACCACACCAAAGTCTGCATGAAATATTAATTGCATTGTACATTTTCTGCATGACTTTAAAAACCTTAATAATACATGCTCCTTTTTCACATTCCCTGTTGCCTGTTAAGAGATTGTTACTTTTAGAAGCGTGTTAAAATAGTTGCATGCTATAATTACCAAGAAAGCATTTCCAAGTCATATTTACTTTGTTGCTTCCAAAAAAGAATGCTCACTTTTTCCATTCCTCCCTTCTGCTTCCCTTCCCTCCCTCTTCTCTTCTTCTCACTGCTTTCTTTTTATTTCCCTAGAGTGTGCACTTCATATTGCACATGTATAGGAAAATACGTAAAAATATGTCATTTTCTTTTACCATTTCATTATGCCTTTTGTCCTATTTTATTTTCAAAGAAATAGTTAATAACTCAATACTCTATGTAGCAAACTACTGCCCATATTTATAAAATTGTTCAGATTTAAAACATTGTTAATACTCACAAATTTAGTGTAATTCTTAAAAAAACCCATCAAGTTTAAACATGAGTTATATACTGACTAGGAGCATTTGTATTAATTCTTTTTTTCTCTGCACTTTTCTTCATCTTTCAAGGTTGCTTTTTTACTTGGAATGAGTTAACAGTAGTTTTTCCAGTTCTTTTTTTATATAGAGTCAAAGAGAAATAAACCAAGCATACTCAATGTGTTGGAAATTTGCATTCTGACTTTTGTTCAAAAGGGTAGCAAGCTTACAAAGTGGGGAAGATGGTTACTTCTGTAATTTATTATTAAATTATATGTCTGACATTAAAAAAGAATTTTCTAAAATGAGTACATTGTGCTAAAATATTATTAGGATTTGTAACCATTTAAGCAAACAGGTATGTTTTTAGTAGAACAAATTTTAGAACAAAGAATAAATACAAACTCTTAGCTACAATAAAAAATAATCATAAGATAGAGAAACTATTTGCTAACTTTGACTCCAGTGTCATAAACTTCAAAATTATCTTGCTGTGGTCATAGCACTTTTAAAGCAGAATCAGCTAAACTTGAATCTCTATCTCCCAGAATAAAACACAACAAAAAACTTATAACCCTGATTCACTTACTTCCAGAAGAGTATATCTTTGCTCTGTCTCTGGAATGTTTTTGCCATTTTGATTCAGCCTAAATATTACTGATAATAATAATAGCCTGGCATCTGGAAGGAATGCTTTGGAATGTAATTTTCTACAGGGGGAGGAAATTATTATGTACTTCATGTTGTTATATTAATTATTGTTGTTAATTTGGCCAAAGAAAACAATCTGTAGAAAAACCTTTACTTAGTGAAATTTGTATCCTTTGTAAATTAAGCCATCCTCTTGTACTTACACAAGATCATTCAGGCAGTGGGCCCCTTCCATTTGTATCTTGACCATACGTCTTTGCTGTTACAAAAAATAGTGCTAGAGCAAATAGTCAAATGAACGCAATCAAAAAATTTTCGTATTTTTCAGTACTACCTAATGTAGTTTCTATGTGAATACATCCATCTATTTTTTGCCGTTTGTTTCACAGTCAGTCCTAACATTGCAATGTTTTTGGTGTCCCTTTTCTTCTCATAACCTAGTAATACAACTTAATGGTAAATATAGGTGAGATTAGACGAGTATATCATGCAAATGTAATACTTATTTATTTTCCACGTTGAGTCAAGTTTTATTTCACAACTACTACAGCTTTTTAAGTATTAAAATCTAACCATTCACTCTAAATTTAAAATACTAAAATTATGCAGAATACATTGGGAAATCATGTGCTATTATATTAAAAACTATGATTATTTTACAAAATTACACTGACAGGAAAGAAGTATTTGCAACCCAAATGGCTATAGTTATATTTATATACAGCATGTTTTCAAAAAAAAGAACACACACTGTGCAAGTAAGCTACATACCATGTCCATGAGCCTTGATAATTATCTGAGAAACAGACTAGACTTCCTCCAGAAACTGTCACCAGCTGTGGAGTCATAAAACTCCCCCAAAACACTAGTTTCTTACATGTTTCTTCATAGCACTTAGAATCAAATTTAGCAGTGGGAAGAACCTTGGAAATCATTTAGAGACCATGCTTCCCAAACTTTAAAATATCAACATAATAGTTTCTATAAATGAAATCTTACAATGATGCCCCCAATTTAAAAAAAAATTAAAAGTGAAGCAACTCTCACTTAATTGAACAGCTAAACTTTTTTTCCTCTAAGACATCTCCATAAATACCCTAGGATTATTCGAATAAAGGATTATTTGAAAAACTACATGGAGATTCATTCAGTCCCTAATTTTAGATGAAACTGAATAGCTTTCATATTCCTGGCCTAGATGTCTAGAAATTATACCCTTATTATTTGTGTGGCATTGTAAACTTACACTGTTAAGCATTGGGTCCCCTTTGACCAAAGCAATTTTAGCTTTGACAGTGTAAGTAGGTATATTATTTGCCTATGAAATATGCCTCAAGCCCAGGTTTTCTAAGTAAATTATACAAATATTTCATTATGGATGTTTCTTCCACTGTATGCAAGATTATTTTTTACTTTACCATTGTTTATTTACTAAATGGTCACATAATAAGCACAATAAGTAAGCCTACCTGACACTAAGAAGGCATATTATTTATAGCTTTTAAAATATAAAAAAATCAGTCTTTAAGTAATGAGATGTGTATCAGGTTAGATCCCCTCTCCTTGCCCTACTTAATGAAAGCTCTTTAGTTTCTTATCTTCATGAACTGTATTATGTTTAATCTTTGATTAAATAACATGAAATGCTTTTTTCCTGCAGATGTGGACAAAGTACAAGAAAACAGAAATTCAAAAAGCAGGTCTAGGGAGCAACAAAGCTCCTAATTCTATTACCCACTACATGACATGTGGGCCAAGTGGTGAGTTTCTTGCTTACAATGTAAATGAGATTAGTCTCATTTATACAAACTAACCGCGTTAAGAACAAGTGCATATTGCATTAACAGATGTAAATATTGCTTGCTTAATTCATGACTTCTGTCCTACTTACTAGTAAAGCAAATTATTTGATTGCTATAAGTTTTTGCCTGTCAGACGGGAAACAAACCTTTAAAAATTATTTTCCTTTTTTCCCCTCAATTTAAATATGATTCAGTGTTGAATACTGTTTTAGGAACTTTTAGTTGAAGTCTTTTTTTTTTCTTTTTGTGGTAGGAATATGACTTTTCCACAATGTTCTTGGTAATTGAGGAGGATAAACTAAATGCCTTTCCTATGAAAAGCCACTCAAAGAAGACGTGTCTCTTTCTGTCACCCTCATTCCTATAGAAATATCTGGTGCATGCTGTTCTTACAGTGGCTGTTCTGTATTTTATATCTCGCATCTTCAAGCTTTTCTTATATTTTCTTTCTTCTTTCTACCTTTTAACTAAATACAGAGAGAAAAGTGTCCTTCAGTTTCTCAGTATGAAGCCTTTATTTCTGAAGTAACAAGACACCCAACTATAGAAATCATTTAAAAAATCTTTAAGGAGACTTTATACAATCCTGCGTGACTAAAGCAGGCAAGAAATACAAACCTTCATTCCTTCCTTGAATCAAGGAGCACTACTGGAGTCAACTGCCAAAATTTTTAGAAGGTTTTAGGACTTACTATATACATTGTACTGTTAAGATCTACTGAATAAAGGATCTTCTCTCGCTAAGGACCAAGTGTTTTAAGGTTTCAAGAAGTACTCCAAGAATAACCTACTTCTTCTATCATTTGTTTATGAATTTATCCATGTTTGCTTAATGCTTCTGCTAAGTATTAGCCAAAATCTAGCCATTTATATTTAGTTGTATAAATCTAAATTAAATGCTGTAGTATGTTGTGGAATGTATTATATATCAAGATACAGAGAACATTGTTTGGGCATGCCAGAGCCTTATTTGGTTAGCAGACTGCATGTGTTGGTATTCTTTTTCTTTTTTTAAGCCAATTATTTTGATGCACTGCAAAAGAAATTCAGTTTATTAGATAAATCTGAAAAATCCATGATAGGAGTTATACAAAATTTACAGTAATATTAATCTTTCCATAGTCCCCATTAAGCAACACTAAGCATTCACATTTGGATCCAAGTTAAGAGTTTTCCTGAAACTTTTTTTTAATAAGGTGATTTTCCAGCAGATGGCATTCCCAAGATAAAGCTGTTGTATTTTAACTCATTTCCCTTCTTTAGTATTAGGTTATATATTTGTGGGGTTTTTTTTTAACTTGAGAGCTAACTGTTGCTTAAGAAGTTTTCTTATGGCAAAGATAATGTAAATAATTTACTGTGATCTACATTTTGCCAGGAACTCACTTATTATTAAGGTTATCACTTATTAATAAGAATTTTTCTGTTTTTGTCCTTTATAATATTACATTAAAGTTGGTAACTATTATTGGTACTTTTGAAATATTTGTATGCATTTGTTACCTTTAACATTTGAAAGAAGCACAAAAAAGTAGATTTAGTTAATCCAGGGAAACATCAATTTTTTTGTAGTTCCAATTTTATATCACAGTTTTATTTTCTTATGAAATCCAAAAATGCATTGATACCTCTTAATGCAAATTCATTATTTAACATAAATATCAGAATAATCTTAAAGGTCTGAAATGAAAAACTTTTTTATTTTAACAGTATACTTCTTAGGCTCTCATTACCAGCTCTAAAGATCTTTTTGGAATAATTCCATATTCCACAGTGTGTCTTTTATGAACTATGTGTTTCATCACTAACCTAGCTCCCATGAGAAATGTGTGTGTATCACTGTCTCTCCCTCCCTCCCTCTCTCCCCTTCCCTCCCTCCCTCCCTCCCTCTCTCTGTCTCTCACACACACACATTTTTTTTGGTAGGCCAGTAGCAGTGTTGTGTTCATAGTCTACTTTCAGAAAAACCATTAATGAAAAGACAGAATGTATAGTTGACCAGAATTTCAAATGGAAGTTAGCGAACTTGGACTTACGAACTTAATGCCACAATTAACTTAGGTTTTGCCGCCAAATAATGCTGTAAAATAAATCACTTTTAAACTCTTGGATGAAAGGTGCTATGTAATGTAAATACCAAGGATTCTTACTAAAATACAAATATGCCCAACAGACATATTTAAAACCTATTCTCTAGACTTTGAAAAACCTCTCTCCATCATGACTTCCTAGATTGAAATATCAAATCGATAATGAGCATTGTGGCAGTCTAGAGACACATGTAAAAAATGTAAATTCATTTTTGGTGGATAAGTGGAAAGTAAATATAGAAATTATCTTTTAGCTAAAAGTGGGTAACTTACATTTATATTAACTAGCTTCTAATTTGCACAACTAGGACACATCCCAGGACAATTACTGAAAGTTGACATTTAATGAGTAGGACATGGCCCAATGAGGGTGAATGATATCACAGCTTGACCTCTGCAGGACACCTATATCCTAAAACAAGGAACCTACTTACTTAAGCAGCACATGATTGCTTCAAGTAGAAAATACTTAAGGGAAGCCTATAAAGTACTAAATCTGAGTAGGCTGACCCCTGGGAAAGCCCAGTTAAAGAGACAACCAAGGGAACACCTGAAACTGCAAAAGTGGGAATATATTCATCACCTTTTTCATACCATTGCAAGAAAGGCCTAGATAATAACCACATATTTTACTTTCTCCAAAAGGTACCATCAGAAGCAAACTTAGTAGGAAGTCACTTTTCCCTTAAACTACATCTGCCAAACAAAATAGTATGGCCAACTAGAAACTAACAGGCCACTTTTCTGACTGGGGCCTGACATGCTTTTAATTATGTCTCTAAAGTAAATCTACACCCAACCCACGAGAAAACTGAAGAATTCAATATACAGGGTAAGAGCTTCGATCCAGAGCTCCAATAAATGCTTCAGATCTGGCTATGAGGAAATGTTTGGTCCAAGTTTTTGAACTGGTGGTTACCAGCGAGTTCAGAAAACAGGTTTGTATGTAGCACCTTTCATGCAATGCATAGTAAGAGCCTATTTAAAAATCACTGTGCATATTTCAAAATTGCAGCCACCTCACAAATGAAATATTGCAGTCTGTACTGTCTTAACAATTTGTCAGGAAGTGAAAGGTTATTGTACCAAATCTGGAATTACAGTGAGGAGTAATGATGTATGCTAAAAGACTTGTGTATTTTAAGTTACTTATGAGAAAAGTGGTGAATTTTTGTTTTTCTTTTCTGCTACCCTTAGTCCTGAGATGTATTTTTTTTTCTTTAAGCCTTGAATGAATACAAAAGGAGCCCATTTTATACTATAAACCTTGCTGTACATGTTGAAATATTTGGACAATGAAAATGCCTTAAAAGGAATGCTTATGGATAAAGTTGCACTTATAACACCCTTTAACAAAACCTGATTTTAAATTGTCTTTTTCTTTTTTACTAAGGGTTCTCTTTCAATGTTTGCTATTGTACTTATAACTGTTATTAAATACCAAATCAAATAATATAAAAGCTGTAACATTTCCTTTAAAAGTAATGCTACTGACAAATTTGGAGTTGAACAGCAAAATGTTTACTTGGCAATTAGTATCAGACACAGAAATCCAATTTATAACAAAATTTGACACCGTTTCTCTTTCTAAAAGCATTATTTTTCATTTTTTTAATCAGGTTGGTTTCACATTCACTTATCAAAATGATATAAAAATAAAACAGGTGATTTTTGTAACAAGTCGTTAGTAATCATTTGAAAATTATAAAATTTAGCCAAGTAGTATTCTTTCCTTTTCCTAGGAAAACATTTTCAGACATAACACATAATCTTGTTTGGATGATTCTGTCCTAATCATTTTGGAATGCATATTGGAGGTTTCGGGAGAGGATCAGTTCTGTCAATCCCAGAATAGGTTTAAATACATTACTAGATTGTACAAATCAATCTCTCTTGTTTCCACTTACATTACAGCCTTTGGAGGCAGAATGTTAGAGGGAAACCAGCCTTTTGTCCTTGGGCAGGAAGGTCTTTCTGGGCCTGTATTCCACCAGAGGTGGGAAGGGCAGTTAGACCAGTTAGTTACCCAAGGTCCTCAGTATCTTTGATTCTATTCATTAAACCTTTGTTTTATACGCAAAGCAACCTAAAATTTAGAGATAATATAGTGCAGTGTAGGTAAAAACTAACATGGCAATTCAGAATAAGGTTATCATTTATAGAAAGTCTGTCTTACTAACTCCATTTAAGTCCATTCTATATTTTATAAAAATTTTGCCATGAGTAGACTTGTAGTTTCTAATCATATATACCAAGAAATGACAAGTTTTTACTTTGATTTTCCCTTAGTAACAAAAATTGGTATAAATTAAATACAGTATCTCTACCAGACGGAAATTAGTTTTTGAGTGATCAAACTTAGGAAAATATAGTTATCTTACGACTATCCCGTTTGATTATACTAGAAAACATGAGAATTTTCATGACAAGACCTATAGGCTATTTTTGTAGTCTAGTCTACACCAGACCCTCAACTTATGTTTGAATTTAAATGAAGGGGAAAAAATGTCAATTTTCCTCACTGTTTTTGAACTAGCTTCTATGTGACAACTGACAATACATAATCCTGGGATCTTATACTTTTCATATGCCATAATTGAAAGGGGACGAGTAAAATTTAATATATAACTTATTCATGTTCTTTTGAACAGACTATAAATAAATCCTTCTTAATGGCCTGTGTATATTTTGCTACTGAGTTTTAAAATGTAATTTCATTAGTATAATGATTACATTTCCATCCCTATTTTGACAAGTTTTTCTAAATTAAAATTGTCTAAGACTATACCTTTATAAAAAGTTAGCTTATTTTTTCACTGAAAAAAAAAATCACCGGTTTAAAAAACAAACATCCAGTAATGTAGTTTTAGCCCTTGCCCCATCCCATGTTTGTTTTAATTTTCTTGCTGGGGAGTTTATTCCTTAATCCTCATTCCTCAAAGATAACCACTATCAGCAATTTAATATATTCCTTTTGATTTTTTTCCTTATGTCATGCATAATTTTTTTTTAAACTTTATTGGGGAACAATATGTTTGGGGGGGGGGGACGACAATGTGTTTTTTCCAGGACCCATCAGCTCCAAGTCAAGTTGTTGTCCTTAAATCTTAGTTGTGAAGGGCTCAGCTCCAAATCCAGTTGCCGTTTTCAGTCTAGTTGCGGGGAGTGCAGCCCACCATCCCATGCGGGAGTCCAACCGGCAACCTTGTTGTTAAGAGCACACACTCTAACCAACTAAGTCACCCGGCCACCCTCTGCATAATTTTATATGTGCTATTTGGCCACTTGCTTTTTTTCAAGTACAATAACACCCTAATGAAGATGTAAGATAGTTAATCTTAGTTAACTAACCTTAGTTTTGATGTTAACTTATTAATTTTTGAAGGCATTCCTGTAATGAGTCATGGAGGGTAGGACATGAGCTAATACTACCTTAATACATCTTTCTAAAAACAGCTTCTTTAAGATGAAATAGTCCTCCTAAAGTGATTGAAGTAGTCACCAAACCAAAGTGTTAAATATTCTTATTTTAAATGCTTTTTACAAATTACAAATAAGAAACACAGCTTTCAGAAATAAATATGTGTTCTAAATATTAGCCCAATTAGTTGTTTTTATCAAAATTTAGTATTATGGGATCATGTCCTGTCTTCTTCACAAAGGTAAGAAAGTCTTCAGGGCTCAATCCCATGGTTGCAGCATTGGTCATTGGATGAAAGTACACCTTTTCATGTCCACCTTCCAAAAAAGCAGCATCCAGAACAAATTTCACGTCTCCATCGTCACAGAAGAGTGCCAAGGGTGTGGCACAGCCTTGGCCAACTTTTAGTTTTTCTAGCATGGCTGTTTCATCAGCAAACCGCAGATTTCCACTCCCAACACCTAACTGCTTGGCAAGATCATTTAAATTAATTTGTCTATCATGAAGAACTGTCACCAACCAATAGCCTTTTTTCTTTTTGTCTTTAAGAAATAAGTTCTTACTATGTGCTCCTTTCAAATGTTGGATATGAGGCATCATTTCTTCAACTGTAAACACCTGTAAAATACCACATAAGAAATTTAAATAATATGCATGTATACACACAGTGCACACATATACTGTTGTACATATTTTTGCTTGCTGGGTGAAAACAGCAAGGTTAGGAAGTAATGCCGTGGGTTTCACTGGCAGAGACGCCACCCATTGCCAAATAATTTAAGCCATCTCAATTCCTCATAGCAGGACCTCAGTTTCTTAGATTCTCTATTCCAGTGTGCTGGCTAAGCCCTCACATTCCTAAAATGCTTTTTTTTCTTTAAACTTTTAGTACTGAAAGTTTATAGCAGCCCAGACTCCCATTCCTTAGCATTCCGTTAAGTCCTGATCAGGTGACAACCTCCAATCTACAAATCTAGAACCACAGTGAGGGTTGAGAGGTCAGGGAATGAGACCATGGACTCACAGAACATCAGAAAAGCTGGCACTAGGCACAAGTAAAGAAGGGGAAGAGTATGTGGACTCGATGGGAGGGAAGAAAGTCGGAGAAAATGATAGTTCTGATGTTAAATTTGTAAAGTCGAGTAAGACAGACTTTTAATGTATTTCTGTACCCTTTGAAGATCACCATACTTAGCAATTATCATTAGCTGTTACTCAAGTCTTGGGTAAAAACTGTGACCCTGCACCACTCAAGTTACACAGTGGTTCTGTGGAATATTTACAAATAAATCACATCAATACATTAAATGTTAAAAATACCAAACTCTAACCTTGGTATCCTGCAGTATGCGTGATACCTGATATATCGTAGCCACTGCAGAGACGGTTTACTGCTTGGTAACTTATCTACACATAAAGTAGGCACACTTTAATCAACATCCCACATCAGTTTAAGATGCACAACTTCTCAATAAGTTGCACTAATTCTCAATATGAAATATGTTAAAACCACTCCAAGAGGAAAACATAAGTTTCCTCACAATCACATCATAATCCCAAATGGAGAAGCCTCTGATGTTCCTGTCGGGTCCCCTTCGTACTCTGGAGCCTGGGAAGTGCCCTAGAACGGACGTCTCCGCGGCACGTTTCCCAGGGGACAGGTGGTTTCAGCGGCCTCGCCCGGCAGATGCTGCCGCGGAGCCCACCCCCACCCCCGGCCGGGCTGTCCCGGCTGGAGCGCCTCACCTCCGGGTGCTCCACGACCTCCGTGCGGATGGCGAGTGCGCCGAGCCGCTGCTCCAGCGCCGCGCGCAACTCGGCGCCCGCCATGCTGGCGTCGTGGCCGCGGGAGAGACGGAAGGAAGTGCCTGGCGGGGCGAAGGCGCCGCCGGAAGCGCAGCGCCGGCGCCTCCCGCAGGCGGGGCGCTGTTTTCGTGCCGCTCTCCTTACTCGTCTCTGACAGTCGTCAGCGGAGACAACCCTGCAGGAACTGCGGGGCTCCTTACCGGGTTCCCCACATGAGCGAGGCGCCTTCATTCTCGTAGCCTTCCCTAACCCCGCTTCTGGTTCCTGGGTCCAGCATATCTGCCATTAAAGTAGAGTCAGAGCTGGTAACAACGTTCGGTTTAGGGAGTGTTGAAGGAGGTCTTTGAGAGTACCTGACCTCCGGTAACCCGTGGGCCGAAGGCGGCAGTCAGGCTCCTCACCGTTTCCCCTGTCCTTGGCACTCCATTCCTCTCACCGTGTCGGTCCTGGGAGCCTCCTGAAGGAGGCAGCCTTGAGAGAGGAATGCGTTACTGAGACCATCTGGGCAGTATAGGTGACTGAACCATGTTAAAGGCCTCTATATAAACTCTTCAAATCGGGATGAAGATCTCATCTTGGAGCACCCAAGACAAGCCGCCTAAGTGAGTTCCCTTGCTAATTAAACCTGTCACCTGCCAAACGGGTGGCCTGCCTCTTCGGGTTTCTGCTTGTGTAGGGGGACCAGTTTCGAATCTCACCTGGGAAACTCCCTGAGGTTGCGAACCAACAGGGAGAGAGAGGAGGTGGCCAAAATCCCTATAGTTTTAAGACTTCTCAACTTTAAATTTATCAACTATAATTTTATATTTTACCTTTTGCGAAAGTTAGCTTTTGTCATTATTCATCTACAAATAATTAGCTGTGGAAACCAGGACTCATCTTTTTCAGAAGCCCTTTGCCTACCTTGGTGGGGCTGTTTTCCGCTATCCTGCAAAACCTTCACTCCTTGAATGAGGCCTGAAATTTCACGTTAGAGTTTCATTTGTGAATTTAGAGTAAGCCTCAAATCCCAGGTAAAACGTAGCTATTCCTGGGGACGTTTGACTCTAGTGTGAATGAATTTAGGTCATTTCTGTGATACAAATTGAAGGCGTGGAGAAGGAAGACAGCAAAGTAGCTAAGTCTTTACCTGCATAACAACAGCCTTGGAGAAAGCTGCGAAAGAGGAAGAAATCCTGGCCGACTTCACAGTATCACCCAGAATTGGCCTTGGATAGCACAATTATAAAACTTAATAACTTAACCCACCTTTTAAAACTATTAAGCTATATTTCTCTTCAAACACCACCCAGTTCTTTGATTTCTGATTTCTCATAGAACCAACAGCAGGCCCATGGCCACCTAAATTCAGATCAACAACAAAAGCAAACATACCACATTACAGAGTGTTTAGAAAACATAGACAAGGTGGGGAAGGATCACTCAGAACATTTTTTCCACATTTATTATTTCCCCATTGGTAAATTAGCTTTGTTCACGTCTTGGCTGATTTAGCTACTGAATGAATGTTAATGGCTTTCGCATTTATTTGTATGAGCTCTTTCTATAATCAAGTTATGTGCCTTTTGTCCAAATAGTTTTCACTTTTCCCACTTAAGGAGAGATTTTTTTTAAGTTTGGTTTTATCTACAGAAGTTACTAATTTTTGTGTTAATCAAATGTCATTCTTTCCTTTTTAAGTTGTACTGATCTAAGTTTAGAAAGCTAACATCTGGCAATAGAAAAATATTCAATCTATTTTCATTTTTGTTTTCTTAAGAACATTCAATTAACTTAAAATTTACTTTCGTATGTAAGGTGTGGTGGGGTTCACTTTTTTTACTAGGTTTCCCTGGCAAATGAAATTAGAAAGCAATAAAATAGCGAAGATCACCCATTTGAAGATAAGGCATATCCCAAATGATCGTCCTTAAATATTGGCAGACTTTCAAATATCCAAATATTTGAATATCCAAATCCAGTCATGGCGACCTGAGAGTAAACTAGGGAAAGAAAAATTGGAATCTGATTGTAACTCAGAAATGCAAATTATGTCCAAAAGTAGGAAAACATTAACGAAGCGTAGGATCTCCATAACAGCTACAAAAGAGGAAAAATTGGCAGTGGCATCCAGCACATTATGTAGTCTACAGGGTGTTCTGACCTAGAAATCTCTTTGGAATTGAATTGTCATCCATCGGTTATATAAAGCATGGATCCTCCCCACCCCATAAACCCCTCACTCCCCACCACCACCCTGCCACCACAGAGCTAACCCATAACAGTTCAGTTTCTCAAATCCTTTCACTTCTCACCACCTCCATCACCCTAGTCCAAACTACTATCATTTTCGCTCCTGGTCTAGACAAACGTTCTCTTAATTTTAGTCTACCTGTGTTTGAATGACCAAGTATTCTGCTCCAATCAAAATCCAGTTCAGACATCTTTAATGAGCATTGGTATAGCTTTTATTAGAGGTTCCTTGAGACTAATGTAACATTTTCCATAAGTACTATACAAAGTTGTTACTCCTATTGTTTTACATAAAGATAATTGTTACTTTAATAGAAGCTGCAATACTAATGGAAACACAAAGATTTACCATATATCATTGAGTACAGGTTAATATCAAATTTAAGCTAAAAAAAATACTAATATTCATATTCAGAAGGTAAAATCTCAAAGCTGGTTGAGACCCTAAAGATCTTTCATTTGACGTCTTCAAAAATGGAAGTGGTTAAGAAACAGCATCGGAATCAAAAAGACATGAATTTAGGTCCTTTTCACCTGTCACTAAGGATGTGACCTGAGCAAGTTACTTAACTTTCCCAATGATAAACAATCCTTCTGGTTTGTTAAAATTGATGTACAAAAATAAGACATTCAGTCTTGCAGCATTCAATCAGATGATGATTATAAAGCAATGCTTCACTCTTAATACATCAAATGAATGATAGCTATCATTTGTAGTATTATTATTATTAAGGTTTAGTAATTTTCCCCAAAGCCACATATTTAAAATAATTGATCTTACCAAAATGCAATCTGTAGATTATCAATTTGTCACAGAGTATTTGTCAAATCAGCATCAAGGAAAACTGAATTATCAGTGGGCCTCAAACCTGCTAATGTGCCAAGAACAACTACTGTACAATTTTTTTTTACTTTTTAAAATATTTTATTGGGGAATTGGGGGAGGGGAACAGAACAGACAAGCTGCTGTCCTTTTGTTCTTCAGTCTAGTTGTGGAGGACATCACTTCACTGGCCCATGTTGGTATCATTGCGCTCTTCCCGGCTCACCAGCAGCTCACGAAAGCGCATGCCAGCTGCTGGCCAGCCCCACTGCAGCCTATGCCTTCGCCAGCGACTCGTGGCAGCCCAGCTCCAGGTAGAGCTGTTGTTCACCATCTTAGCTGTAGAGGGCACAGCGTCACTGGCCCACATGTGGGATTGGAACCGGGGGCCTGCTCCTCGGAGATGGCAATATAAACATTATTTGTGGTTAAGTAGTAAAGATAAAAAACAGCATTTATAGTATGAATTTCATTTATATAAAATTATGTGTGTACATGTATTTATACACAATGATGTTCACTAAAATAATAAAAGTGGTTATATCTGGAGAAGAGGAATTTAGAATTTGATTCACTTTTTTAAAAAATAAACTTTTAATTTTGGAATAAATTTAGATTACAGAAAAGTTGCAAAGATAGTGGAGAGTTCCTAAGTGTCCTTCAACCAGTTTCCTCTATAAACATGTTATATTAACTATATACATTTGTGAAAATTAAGATATTAACACTGGGGGATTACAATTAACTAACCTACAGATTTCATTGACATTTCCCTAGTTTTTCCACTAATGTGTTTTCTGTTCCAGGAGTCCATCCAGGATACCACATTGCATTTGGTCATCACGCCTCCTTAGTCTCTCCTGATCTGTGATAGTTTCGCAGTCTTCTTGCTTTTCATGACCTTGACAGTTTTAAAGAGTTCTGCTCAGGTATTTTGTAGAATGTTCTTCAATCTGGGATTGCCTCATGTTTTCCCATAATTAGAATAGGGTTATAGGCTTCTGAGAAGAATCTCTTCTGGGAAGAGATGGAGTGTTCTCATAACATTTCAGGAGGTACATGATATCAACATGACTTCACTGGTGATGTTCACTTTGATTAGTTGGTTTGCTAGCATTCTCCACTGTGAAGTTAATGTTTTCCCCTTTCCAAGCTCTATTCTTTGGAAGTGAGTCACTAAGCCCAGCCCACACTCAAGAGGAAGGGAATTAAGCTTTATCTCCTAGTAGATGTTACATACATATTTTATATGGAATTCTATAGGAAGGATTTGTCCCTTTTCCCACTTTATTTATTCAATCATTTATATTAGTATGTACACACGTGTACTTATTTGACACTTCGGGTTATAATCCAATACTATGTTATTTCGTTACTCAAATGTTTCCATCTTTGGCCATTGGGAACTCTTTCAGGTTTGCTCCTCTGTTCTTTGAATTGTCCTCCTCCTTTTTTTTTTAAGCCCTTTTTATATTTTGATGTATTGCTTCAATTTTCTACATTAGCATGCTTGATCTTTTTTTTTTTTTTTAACTGAGCCATCCTGCCACCTGTTGGCAGCTCAGCAGCAGCTCAGCTCGGGCTGGGACTCGAACTGCTGTTGCTCAGAGCTCACACTCTTGGGCGAGCTCTTAACCAACTGAGCCACTCAGCCTGCCCTAGCATGCATGATCTTCATGACTAGAAAAATAGCAGTTATTTCCACTTTAATATTGTGGAAAGTTCTGACTATTACTTGGATGTTCTAATCAATTTCTGCTTGGCAAAGCAAATGAGAGCAAAGAACAAATTCTTGCAGAAATTGCACTTCAGTAGGTGTTTGTGAATAGTAAGTAAAATTATAGCAATTGGAATGAACTGCAATAGTTTTCAAGTGTGTGGGTGTTAGGTTCATTAAAAAAATTTCCAGGACAGAGGTTTCCATTTGATCACTTGGCAATACTGATTGCACACCTTTGAGACAAAAAAGAGGAGGGGGCTTAAGTTTAGGAGGTCAGACTATGGGAGAGAGGTAACAGTTATGTATGCTTTGGGGTAAGAAACTTACATACCATGCCATTTGCTTTGGGTAGTGGCAGTCCTTGAGAACAGAGATAAATGGTAATTTACACTCTCAAGAAGTGGAGGTGGTTGTGGTTAAGGGGATGGGCCAAAAGACATGTCCAATCAAGGTGCAGAAATGCTCCGG